CATTGTGTTGTCTCTAGGCTCTGGACTTGCTCTGTGTCTCAATAGAAACTTAGTATAAAATTCTGTTCTGTCACTCCAAAAGTATTTGGCAGCCAAGCACTTTGGTTAATGTTTTCCAACTAGGAATTTTTTACTGACATAAAGCTTTATCACTTGAGAAATTTCCCATACAAAATTGAAATAACAGAAAAAGACCAGAATGCATGAATATCATCTATTGATGATATATTATCCCTGAGAAAACTCCAACAATAAATGATGTGGGGAAAAGGTCTGGTGACAAAAGATAAATAAAAGGGATTGAGTTAATGTTTCATTCATTAGCGGAGACCTAGGAAAATCAGCTAAATCAAAAAGATGGAAATCGAATAGAATTGTGTGCATATGTCAATGCATTTATAGTCCTTCTAGACAGAAATAATAGCACTGTTGTTTTAAGACTTTCTCTAATAAGTCTGTTTGATAGTAGCACTCTCAGCATAAGAAATTTGTGGCATCAAGTAACATTCCAGAGACTTGAACTCAAAGTCTAAGTGGACATACAGCCAATGTTTTAAGATAGTTCTGCACCATCAAGCATAACGTACTTCAGATGAGCTGTTAAGCTTTCTGCCCTCCCATGTAAAAGATCTCAGGAGATTTGAAGAGCAGGGGAGATTTTCCTGGATTTTTGACCACTATTTATCTATACCTCTGAACAGGTTGATAAAAGTGTATTTTTAAAATCCCATAGCCAATGATTAGAACTGATTATCTGGCTGTCATCAGATTTCTGTTTTTGGGAACCCCACCATACACAAACAAGCTACTATTTACAACAGTGACTACATCTCAGGTCCTTTTAAGCTGCTGTAAAATTCTTTGGGATCTACTCGGAATGAGGAAAATGCTATGTCAATATCTTTGATGGATGATAATGGAATAGTTTAGGTTAGATGGGCTTCAGATTGGTTTCACAGGTCGGCGCAACATCGAGGGCCGAAGGGCCTGTACTGCACTGTAATGTTCTATGTTCTATGTTTTCATAAGTTTGCCGGTAAAACTCCTGTGCTTGTACTACCTTAAGAATGTGCAAAAAAAAGGCCTCTGTCTTTTATGGTCTGAGTGGTGCTGTTTGGTTTTACTGATGAGTGAAGAGTTTTCCCATTGGGAGGAGAAGTAATTTTGCATCGAGTATTTGAATATTTTGTTTTAGTCCAAAACCAGAGGCTGCCATGACTTTTGGTTCTACCATTGTGTTCACTGCACTTGTGATGCCAAGGTGTACAAGGCTAATAGCCAAGTGCTGGAAAATAGAATTAGAATAGTTAGGTGGTTGTTTTTGACCAGTGTGGATGTGACAGACTGAAGGGCCTTTTTCTCTGCTGTAGATTTGGTGATAAAGTGCATGCTAGGAATGAGTAAATATTGCATAAAGTTACCTTTACGGCAATATCTGAATTGTTAATTAGTTTGGCTTCTAATGGGACACAGAGGAGACAGTTCTAAGCGACTTGCTTGCAGCAGCAACAAACTTTATTGTGGTCATCTTCAAACTAGTTTTATTAACAGTTTTACCCACAGTTTAAAATTACTTGTCTTATCATCTTAGAACAATTGTATAATCAAAACATTCACTGCAAAAGAATGTTGATTACATCTGAATTGAAACCAGTTCTCCTCTGGTTGCAAAGATATTGCACGGACAATATACAGTTGATGACTGATGTACAATAACAGCACTAAAGCGGTATAAATTTATTTCTTAATTCATAAATTTATTTCTTAATTCATAAATTAATTAAATGTTACATTCAGAAAAAGAAATGAAGCAAAATAAGTTGAGGAAGAGAAACAATATCCAGCCTTAATCTGCATAATTTTCCTGTCTCATCTTTCAATCATCAGAAGATTTATAAAATAGAAAGATAGATTATTGGTAGACTGGCAACGTTTTGCATTGGGTACCGACTATTTGTGTCTTGAAGCACTGGAAAATTTTGTAGTTTTGTAAATTCAAAGTAAGACAAAGTAATGATTACTAATGCAAAATCCCCACACTAAATATAGCTGTAACTGATTCTGTAAACGCAGCAAATACTTCCTTTAAAAATCCATTTAACGGTTGTTAGTTCTCACGGAATATCTGTACAAGACTTAACTTTAAGAATGACTTAAATATCTAAGATTTTTCTCCTATAATTGGTCGTCAGCTGGTTTGCACATTATCTCATCCTTGGATGTCAATAAGGAAACTTAAACTTCTCATGACTCAAAATTAAGTAACAATTAATAGAATCTTTGTTATTGAGTTCTAACCTTCAGATAAATAATTAGAATAAAAATTAACCTCAAATGTTTATAGAGTACTAACTTGGCTTATGTTTCCCTCTGATCATTAATTGAATTGATTTATAACTTTAAAATTTGTCAAATACAAGTAAATTATTGATTTCAGAGTTCAGCATCATCTTCCTGGATCCCAATACTCAATCCAGCAAATTGGCCTCTGGTTGAGAGCTTCAAAAGTTTGTTTTTTTTTTCAGCTGGTCACAGAAAGGAGTTCTGAAGAAATGTATAGACATTAGGATAGATATTTCTAATCAACCTGTTCAGACATATTATGACACAGATCTGGAGCAGGCAGGACTTGAACCCAAGAACACAAAGTTAGCATGCAAATCTAGAAAGCAATTAAGAGGGAAAATAGCATGTGACCTTATTGCAAGGGGATTGGTGGACAAAGAACTCCTGCTATAATTGTGTAGAATTTTGGGTTTCTCCACCTTAAGTACCATGCAGTTTTGCTGCTCTTATTTAAGAAAGGACATACTTACTTTGGGGTTGATAAAGCAGAGGTTCACCAAATTGTTTCCTAGGATGAGAGGGTTGTTCCAGGAGGAGAAACTCAGTAAACTGGGCTTTTGCTCTGGAGTTTAGAAGAACAAGAGGTAGTCAGTGAAACACACAGGATTCTGAAGGGGTTTCACAGAGTAGATGTCGAAGGTTGTTTCCCCCTGGCTGAGATATCTAAGCGACTGAGCGCAGTCTCAGGATGATGGGTTGATTACTTAGGAGGGAGCAGAGAAATTTATTTGCTAAGTGTTGTAAATCTATGAAATTCTCTGCCTTGGAGAGAAGGTTACAGATGCCCTATTGTTGTGTATATTCAAGACTGAGATAGATTTTTGGGGCGTCGGAATCAAATGGTGGAGTGGGGTGGGGAGGGGAGATAGAATGAATGACTGAGCAGGTTTGAGGATTTTTACGTGACCAGGATTGAGTGAGAAGAGGGCAACAACACCACAGGGTTATTTCTAGTGGCAGAAAGGAGGCAATGGCAAAGATAACAATTCACTTCAGGAAATTCATTATCTCCCGTGGAAAATGGTTTACTTTACATTTATTTCTGTTAAGTTGTCCCATTTCCTTAAACGATCGAGGAGTTCCCTTCCTGCCCTGCATGATGTCACCTTAAAGACTGTGTATATAATAACTGGTGCATTGATAAAGATGTCAGATTACTGGTTCCTGGTCCTGCAGGTTTCCACTTGCTACCTCTGTTCAGAGCCTGTATTTTAATCACTCACCCAATTTTAAATTCATCTTAGTACACTGCCAGCTCTGCAAGTTTGCCATACTGATTTTTCGAAAGGTCCTGTGATGCTGAAGTTTAGGCTTTGGTGTTTGATTAAATGATAATTAACTAGACTTCCCTAATTTCATTTTAGATACAATAGTATACTTGCTATTTTCTAAAATGTCTGTGCCACTGTTGTACTTGTTTGTCCTAAGGTTCTATCAGCAGGTATACCCCATTAGCTGCATTATTTACTTAGCTGGATATTTGAACAAGATCCATCAATCAGTACTAAAGAGATTTTATTCACTACCTTGAAATAACCGTACTGGAATTTTCAATTGTTGTTATCATCATCATCATCATATCATAGAATCCCTACAGTGTGGAAACAGACCCTTCGGCCCAACAAGTCCACATCGACCCACGCAGCATCCCACCCAGACCCATCCCCCTATAACCCACCTAATCTACACCTGGACACTATGGGCAATTTAGCATGGCCAATCCACCTAGCCTGCACATCTTTGGACTGTGGGAGGAAACCAGAGCACCCGGCAGAAACCCACGCAGACACCTGGGAAAATGTGCAAACTCCAAACGGTCACCCAAGGGTGGAATCGAACCTGGGTCCCTGCTGCTATGAGGCAGCAGTACTAACCACTGAGCCGCCATGCCGCCCTTGTAACTTGGATTAATGATCTAGAGCACCCCACTTGGTAGCCAAAGGAATTTAAATTTAATTAATTAAATAAATCTGGAACTAAAAGCTATCAGACTGTCGTAAACACTTATCTGGTCCCCTTTGGGTAAGGAAATAGGTTTCCTTCCCTAATGTGGCCTACCAGTCACATACAGGACCGTGTACAAAAATCTGTGCACAAATTGAATTAACCTCTACATGAACTCCACTTTATATGCGTTCTTCTCAAATAGTGTGGCTGTATGCTTGCTGTGTTAAGACCAAATCAATTCTCCAATCACCAGAAAAATATTTCAGGAACTCTTATCCCATTCTATTGCTCATTCTGTATTGAAAAAGCTATTCTAGTTAAACACAGGTTTTCATTATAATATTAGCATCAATTTCGTGGTTTGTTCTTGAAAACTGATCAGAACAATGAGTCAATTAAAACTTCATCACAAAAGCTCTAATCATTTTTGCTATTTCTTCCCCCCACCCCCAAGACACTTTGGAACAGCAATGACAGGAAACAGAAGTCCTTCAAATAAGTTTTGTTTGGTACCATGGAGATTAATCTATTACATCGACCAAATGGATTTATTTCTAAATCGTCTGTAGTAGCTACAAATGCATATGTTCTGAATGGGACTGTTAAGTGATAATTATCTGTCAATGCCAAGAGTAGATGTGTAAGCTAAAGATATTTTATGTTGTAAATTTTCGAAAACACTTTGTTCTGAAAGTACAGTGCCTTTCTCACCTTTGAGGTCAGGTTTATTAAAATGTCAACATACAATTTCAATGTATATTACATTAATTTACACGATTACTATTGTGATCTTACAACATTTTAACAAACGCAGTCAGAATCCAGCCATTGTCAAGTATCCTTGGGGACGGACCACAGATTTTGGCACCCAGTTACTCTACCAGATTACAGGCTGACTAATCATCCAGTCTGAACACAGACAGTACACAGAATCAAAGATTTAGCTTAATCGACTCACATTTGGACAAAGGTGACATTTATAATCATTATTAACACAATTATTTCCACATCATACTAACAGAGGTTCATTTGGTGGAACTGTTTTGACTTGAGGTATTGAAATTTTATTAAACAGTATTTAGCACTGACACTTGAAGAAAACTCCAAATGGTACTATCAATTTTCTAAAAGGATATTGTCAGTTTGGAAACAAAAAAGTCATTACAGTCCAATTGAGTAATTTGTCTTTTATTGGTAGAGGTTGAAGGAGACCAGAGTCTTCCTTTTGGGGTTCAAATTAGTTCTTGAGGAATTGAAGAAATTTGTAATTCACCATCAAAGAGACTCGGCAGCAATATCAAAAATTACTGGTGACAGAGTTGAAATGCAGACTTAAATGTGAAGACAATACAGGTATCATATGACCTTTTTGTCTCAACACATAGTTATAAAATCGAGCAAGAAGTATAGGAGTGAAATTCTGTAGTGTATTTTGGGGGGGAAGAAAAGAGAATTGAGGTCCTGCTTGCTGAGTCAAATGCTTGGTATGGTGATTCTGTTGCTTTTTCCTTCACTGGTGCCCCCGACTATACACTGGGTAATGGTCAAATAAGGGAAATAATTCTATATTTAACTCCCCTTCCCATCATGATCAGACCACCCAATCAAAAATGTCTTTCTCCACTAGCAGTGCAACAAGTATAAAAAGACTCTTTATTACAAATCTTTATGTCCATCATTCGTTTCCATTTGTCACTTAAACTGAAATCTAAAATCAGAGCTTCACTGAGTACAGGAGTAGAGCCAAGATAGCAAAGAACTATCCTGAAGTTCAGAAATTATTAATGAAACTGAAAATATGCAGTCAGAGTAAATTCAGCATCAGCTTTGGTTTCCTCCACTGACTTAAGTTGACCAAATTCGCTCAGCAGATTGCAGAAAATTTTTTGGTACATTAGGCAGTTGTTTCTACATCAGATTGATGAGTGGCACAGTATTCTTGGATTCCTGTTTAGGAATAAATTTTTTTTCATTAATTACAAATATATCTTTCAGTCAAGTACAAGTAGGATCATGGAATCCCACCCATTCCCAGCCCACCCTATCCCCGTAACCCTGCATTTCCCATGACTAATTTTCCTAGTTTACACATCCCTGGACACTATGGGACAATTTAGCATAGCGAATCCACCTAACCTGCACATCTCTGGATTATGGGAGGAAACCACGCAGACATGGGGAGAATGTGCAAACTCCACACAGTCATCCAAGGATGGAGTCGAACCTGGGGTCTTTGGCGCTGTGAGACAGCACTGACAACCACTGAGTCACCACGATGGCTTGAGAAAGTAATTATATTTTCCATATTTGTGAGGAATGTACTGCAGTGTTCAGGACAGTTTCAAGGTTTAGTACCTGCTCGGGGGTTTCCCACACCTTGGATTGCCTGTGATTTTCCAACACATGCTAGAAATTGGTGAGGAACCTTGTTCAAACTCCAGAAAGTCTAGGCTTAAATGCTTAAATCATTTTGTCACTTCACTTCAGGAAAGGCCATTGTTGGGTTTGCTGTAAACATATAATTCTAACCCTACTTGCAGCACTGATTATTCTTTTAAATGAACATCTAGGAGAGATATTAACCCAGTCAAAACTTGCGCACAGTTCCGTTCCATTCTTGGATAGTGGCAACTGCCGATGCTGGAGAATCTAAGATAGCAAGGTGTAGAGCTGGATGAACACAGCAGGCCAAGCAGCATCAGAGGAGCAGGAAAGCTGACGTTTCGGGTCTGGACCCTTCTTCTGAAATCTGGCCTGCTGTGTTCATCCAGCTGTACAACCTTGTTATCTCCGTTCCATTCTTGGTCCTTTTTGAAGAGATTTCTGTATAAAAAGCATTGCTGGACAAATGCCAGGTAAGACACCAGGATAAAACATGATTGCTTGACTAGTTGTTACAGCTTTTCCAATGCAATTGGATCACTCACTTAAAGCCGAAAGAACTGTGGATGTTTCTGCCACTTCAACACATCATCCTGTTCCCTGGCCAACATCTCTGTCTCAGGATTGCTGCAGTGCTCCAGCGAAGCTCAGTCTAAGCTACAGGAATAACATTTCATTTTACGCTTGGGGCCCCTGCAGTCTTCTGGAAGCAATATCGAGTTCAATAACTTTAGGGCTTGAACTCCCCTGGATCCTAGCTCCCGCTCCCACTCCCACAAACCAGGCCTTATAGTCTGCTATTACACACAACCCATTGTTAGTCACTAACAGTCTCCACTAACAGCTATTCACCCTCCTAGCTAGATCATTTTCTACCCCTTTGCCTGTCCAACTGTTCTTCTCTCTCTTTGGGCTCTATCCCTACCCATTGTTTACTCCTTACCCCGTTCCCCCCCACCACCCTAACCTCTGCATACAAGCCAACATATTCCTAGATACTATCAGTTCTCAGTAAGGGTCACCAGACCCAAAACATTAACTTCTGATTTCTCTTCACAAGTGCTGCCAGATCTGCTGAGCTTTTCCAGCAATTTCTGTTTTTGGATCACTCACTTGTCACTTTGATAAACATTACAACATAAAACCAATATTTACCACCACTAACACTCCTTTTAGAAAAGGCCATGTCAAAAATCAGCTTGGAGGTAAAATCTAAATTGAACCTGATCCATTAAAGTGATTTAACTTTCATGCAGCTGATGCATTCCAAGACCAAATATATTATGTAAGATTTTGCTTTCTCAAGCCTTGTATGCTTGTAGAAGTATTCTGAAAGTGAGCATTACTTACGATGAATAATATCCTTGTAAGCAATAGATGCAGAAGAACCTGGAATTTCTGTCAAAAATGACTTGCCTTCATCACAACTCTTTCCTTTAACAGAAATAAAAAGTTATTAATTAAATCAAAAATTTCACTAAGCATAAACTTCACTCATGAAAAGTTAGACAAAGATATAGACAGAAGAATTTCACTGCTTCAAGTTTTAATAAAATAGTCATTATGAATTGTGACAGTATAACAAACAGATGCTACTTCATTTACATTACAGTGTTTAGTACAAGAAAATTACTTAACCCTCTTTCCAAACACCATGATTCGGACAGTTTGACCAGTTGCAGCCTCTATTATGCATCCTTTCAGTAGTTTCGGGAAGGATTTCCAGCATTTCTGATTAAGACAAGGTCATCAATGGTACAGCAATATAATGGACCTATCCATTATCTGGCTGTTCAATGTTCAGTTATACGGAGGATAAAAATTCTCAAAAGTTTTTTTTTCAGCATATTTTTTAAAAAAGCATTCACGGAATATGAATATTATTGGCAAGGTGAATATTTACTGGCCCTCACTAATATCCCAGAGAAAATGATGGTGAACCACCTTCTTGAACTGTTGTAGTCAGTGTAGTATAGGTACACTTTAAGTGTTGTTAGAGAGTTTTGTGAATTTCATCCAGTGACAGTGAAGGAACCCCAATATAGTTCCAAAGTCAGGATAGTTTAGAGGGGACAACTAGTCAAACAATCATGTTTGATCTTGGTGTCATTATCTAGCATTTGTCTTGTTCCTTGGCCAATATCTCTGTCTCAGGTTTGCCACAGTGCTCCAGCAAAACTCAGGGCAAGCTGGAAGAACAGCACCTCATTTTCCACTTGGGAGCTCTATAGTCTTCTGGACTCAATATCGAGTTCAACAATTTTAGGGCTTGAGGCACCTTTTCCCATGTCCTCGCCCCAATCGCCACACACCAGGCCTTGTTATCACAAGGTCTGCTTTACACATTACCCATTGTTAGCCACCAACAGTCCCCATTAGCAGCCATTCATTCTTCTAGGCTGATCGTTATCCACTCCTTTGTCTGTCCAACTGCTCTGCTCTCTCTTTAGGCTCTATCTCCACCTACTGTTTACACCTTACCCCTCCCCGCAATCTATCTTCTGCATAAAAAACAACTTTTTCCTAGCTACTATCAATTCTGACGAAGGGTCACTAAACCTGAAATGTTGACTCTGATTTCTCTCCACAGGTGCTGCCAGACCTGCTGGGCTTTTCCAGCAATTTCTGTTTTGGTTTAAGAGGGGAATTTGCAGGTAGTGGTGTTTCCAAGTATCCACTTCCCTTGTCCATCTGGATGTAGAGGTCACAGGTTTGGAAGGTGCTGTTTAAAAGGCTTGGCAATTACTGTACAGCACTTTGTAAATGGTAAACAATACTGCCACTGTGCATCCATGGTAGTATACAACAACTGCAAAGAAGAATGAAGAATAGTACAGCACAGGAACAGGCCCATTGATCCATCAAGACTGTGCTGTCACATGATGCCTTTCTAAACTAAAAACCTATTGCCTCTACAGACCCTTCGGTCCAACTCGTCCATGCCAACCAGGTATCCCAAACTAAACTAGTCCCATTTGCCCGCATTTGGCACATATCCCTCTAAACCTTTCCTATTCATGTACCATTAATATCTTTAAAATGTTGTAACTGTACCTGCATCTATCACTTCCTTTGGCAGCTCATCCCATACACACAGAACCCTCTGTGTGAAAAAGTTGCTTCTCAAGTCCCTTTAACATCTTTCCCTCTAACCTTAAACCTTTGTCATCTAGTTTAGACAAAGATATAGACAGAAGAATTTCACTGATTCTCAGGAAAAGGCCTTGGGTATTCATCTTATCAATGTACCTCATGATTTTATAAACCTCTATAAGGTCACCACTCAGCCTCCGATACTCCGGGGGTAAAAGTCCCAGCTATCCAGCCTCTCCTTATAACTCAGTCCTGGTAACATCCTTGTAAATCTTTATTGCACCCTTTCCAATTTAATAATATCCTTCCTACAACACAGTGACCTGAACTGAATGCAGTACTCTGTGTTGCTGCCCACCTTCAACTACATCGACAGTGACTATAAAACTCCCCCCCAAGAGTTGAATATGGCGAATGTCAAATCTCGAAGGGACCTCTACATCTCCTTCAGCTTCATCCTTCGTTATTTGCACATATATATATAGATTGTTTTTGTTTCTTAACTCCCACATTCTACATACTAAAAGTTTCCAATTGGCATTTTATTACCCAATAACACATTTTGTCCAAATCATTTTTGATTTACTGAGCTGCTTAGAATAATCATACTAAAGTAGTACAATCAGTAAATCTATTTGAGTTGGGCAGAACGTTCTGGACATTTACTATTCCCTGCCTGTTCTTATATCTGTCAAAATGCCTCTTAAACATTGCTATTGTATCCACTTCCATCACCACCTCTGGCAGTGCATTCCAGACACTTACCAGCCTCAGTGTAAAAAACCTGCCTCTCACATCTCTTTAAACTTAGCCCCTTTTACCTTAAACTGATATCCCCTAGTAAGTGACGGTTTCTACCCGGGGAAAAAGACCATTCAATCCACACCTCTCAATTTTGTAAACCTCTATTAGGTTGCACCTCATCCTTCAACTTTCAAGTGAAAACAAACCAAGTTTGTCCAATTTCACTTTATACCCAATACTCTTCAAACCAGGCAACTTCTGAGTAAACTTTTTCTGTATCCTCTCCAAAGCCTCCACATCCTCCTGACGGTGCGGTGACCAGAACTGCACCAAATATTCCAAACATGGCCTAACTAAAGTTCTATAAAGCTGCAACATGACTTGCCTATTTTTACACTCTATGCCTCAACCTATGAAGGCAAGCCTGCCATATGCCTTATTGACCACCTTATCCACTTGTGTTGCCACTTTCAGGGAACTGTGGACCTGTACAATAGAGGAAGTTGAACAATGTGAACCTTGGTCTCTTTCTATTTAGCAAATTGTATGCTCCTGTGTTTAATTAGATGTCTATGTGAAGCACCATATTTAATACACAAATCTGATGATGCTTGATCAGTAACAGGATCAAAAACGCACTGTTGAAAGCTGCTGCATAAGGTCTCTCATCTATTAGGGGCGACTGAACTCGCCACACTCACACCTAAATCTAATTAGAAATGTCAGTTTCTGGCTTGGTGAATGAAGTTCACTGGACTGACCATAGTTCACGGCTTTATCTTTGACATGATTTTAAATACAGGCAATCTCTAGATAGAGATCTCAGACTGGTTTCATGGTAAGTACATCAGTTAGTGAAGTCAGTATAACAGTATTTACTTCCAAAGGTTCTTATTTAGCTTTGGAGAATCAGGCCTATTCTTTATCTGTCTGCAGGACATACCTATTCTGGGATCCAAAGGCACTTTACCAAGGAAGGGAATGCTTAAATCCTTGCACATCTTCATGGCACCTCCGGTGGTTGGTGGAAAAATCTGAGATTCATGCTGTAAATGTACAAAATATAAAAGAAGTAACTACATTTTATGGCGATAATTTGAAAACAAGAAGGACTAGACGAACATCAGACCTATTTAAGACTTGATTTATCCAACATTCTTTGGCAACTCAGTCCAGTGAAAGCCAGTTCTCATCACATAGGCCTTCACTGCACTCTCTGAAGTTATATGGTCATATGCATTGATGGGTGCACACTAAGCTCCTACATCAACACAAGACGAGTCCAAATGCAGCCATGTTTTCACTGAAAGTTCTACTTTCTCTCCCTCCCCATTCCTCTGAGCATTAACAATCTCACCTATTAATCATAACTGATTTTTCACAATTCTCCTCACAGATACTTGTTGGAACAAATGTGCATATCACAAATTCATTTTGAAACTTATAAGGTTTCATGCACTTGTAGAGCTACTATCTTGCTTGGTTTTATCTCAATGTATAGTAACCAACAAAACAATATTAGGATTAAAAGTCATTGAGAACATGATTTCCTTCAACATGCAGTCATACCCAGTGCTACAATTGGAAGGCAGGCAATTCCCTCCACAAGAGTGGAAAGAATGACAGAACCTGGCCTACTTGAGTCCAGAAAACATTTATCTCGAGAGAAACTTGTGTAATAAACCCAAGAGCAAGCTGCTTACTCCTCTGCTAGATTGTGGTTTGATGCATCCAGAGCTAGAATAGGGAAAAGTAGCTTACAATTTTTAAATAAGTTAATTTTATTCAGAATAAAACATCTCACCTGGCACTTTGGACACACAAAGCCACTCATATTTTCTACAACCCCAATTATAGGCAAATTCACTTTCCGACAGAAGTTGATTTCCTTTCTCACATCCTGTAGCGACACTTCCTATTACAAGATCAAAGTAAAATTTACAGTATGACAGGCAATAGCAGATTGGAAGTTAATTTTTTAAAGACATTTATTATCAACACCAAATTAATTCAAGATCTCTTCCATCAGATTTTTGCATGTACATCATAGAGATGATTTCCCAAAAATCTCTGTTAACATTTCTCAAAAACAGTTTAGAATTTTAAGAACTCTGCAGAGATTCCAAGCATCAATCCGAGACCAATGAAAGATCTTTCCACTTCCAGATTGGAAAGTTGCAGAATTTGCACTGCTTGAATATTTGCAAACCCCAAAATGATCTACTTACATTATATCAGGTTCCTATGCACTACCACAGGTATACTTTCTTCATAAATATGGCCAACGTGGAGATTATGTAGCCCTAAGTGAAAAGGGCCAATCTCTGATTCAGTTTCTTTCTAAAATTCCATATTACAAACGTTACAGTTTGGTGCCTGGACAACACGTATTGGAGCATTTGCTGTGAGTACTTTTTACTGAAAACCCAAGAGAAGGAACTAAATCCAACTAATTCAGCTTGCATTAAACATTTTTAAACCCACTGTTAAATCAATCAGCGGTGATAAAAGAAGGCTTCTGGTGTTTAAAAGCCAATTCAAAGGTAAGAACTCTATGGGCTCGCCCACATACTGGGCCTTCTGATTAATTGGACTAGCAGTGAAGTGAACACGGGGGATGCTGGAGAACCTCAGTAAGTCTGGTAGCATAAATGCCAGAGGTAAATTATTCAGCAGTAGTATGATCTACCTTAAAATGCCGGTTTGAACTTCTGATTGTGCACACTGCTGGAAGAAGACCAATGGTTTATTCAGCTTTGTCCAACAAAAATCTCAAGGTTTTTAACTGATGCTAACCACAACTTCTACTCAAGCATGTACTGTAGAAACTTCCAACTATGAATTTAGTAGCTTTTTGGGCAGGTTTTGACTGCATGAGAAGGGAATGTTCCTGATATTTTCACTCTCAGTGGCCTGTGATTTTGAAAGACTTCATTGCCTCTTGCAGGAGAGGGCATACTCCATAAGGGATGGGATCTGTATTTTTATAGGAGAAGAGTGTGTGTATTGTGATGGATGGAGAGCGCACGTGATGGCTGGGCATAAATGCATTGTGATGCATGAGCCTTTTTTATATAAATCAGGGGTGTGTTTCAACATGAATTTCGTGCCCGTTTGAATTAAGCCAAATATGCAGAATTCAGATGCAGTTGAACTGGATATGCTTTACAACATACACTGTAATAGGGTGCGAGTGAGATCCAAAGTCTCCTGTAAGAAATAAAAATATTGATAAGTATTCTGCAATTTCCAAAACACATGATCAGACTTTGGAAAGCACACCTTTTTATTCATTTTGTGGGACATGGGCATCACCGGCTGGCCAGCATTTATTGCCCATCCCTAGTTGCCCTTGCAAAGGTGATGGTGAGCTGCCTTCTTGAACCGCTGCAGTCCACCTGCTGTGGGTCGACCCACAATGCCACTAGGGAGGGAATTCCAGGATTTGGACCCAGCAACAGTGGCTTGGAGGGGAACTTGAAGATGGTGGTGTTCCCATGTAAGTGCTGCCCTTGTATCCAGATGGAAGTGGTCATGGGTTCGGAAAGTGCTATCTGAGGATCTTTGGTGAATTTCTGCAGGGCATCTTGTATATAGTGCACACTGCTGCTACTGAGTGTCGGTGGTGGAGAGAGTGGATGCTTGTGGATGTAGTGCCCATCAAGCGGGCTGCTTTGTCCTGGATGGTGTCAAGCTTCTTGAGTGTTGTTGGGGCTGCACTCATCTGGACAAGTGAGGAGTATTCCATCACATTCCTGACTTTGCCTTGTAGATGGTGGACAGGCTTTGGGGAGTCAGGAAGTGAGTTACTCAACGCAGTATTCCTAGCCTCTGACCTGCTTTTGTAGCCACTGTGTTTATGTGGTGAGTCCAGTTCAGTTTCTGATCAATGATACCTCCCAGGATGTTGACAGTGGGGAATTCAGTGATAATAACACCTTTGAATGGCAAGGGACAATGGTTAGATCATCTCTTATTCGTGATAGTCACAGCCTGGCATTTGTGTGGCGCGAATGTTACTTTCCATTTGTCAGCCCAAGCCTGTCTATAGTCCACATCTTGTTGCATTTGGACACTGACTGCTTCAGTCTCACCAGGCAAATGAACATCGTGCAATCATTGGCGAACATCCCCACTTCTGACATTATGATGGAGGGAAGGTCACTGATGAAGCAACTGAAGATGGTTGGGCCCAGGACACTACCCTGAGGAACTCCTGCAGAGATGTCCTGGTGCTGAGATGGTGACCTCCAACAACCACGACCATCTTCCTACGTGTCAAGTACGACTCCAACCACCAGAGAGTTTGCCCCCGATACCCATTGATTCCAGGTTTGCTAGGGCTCCTTGATGCCACACTCAAGTTGAATGCAGCCTTGATGTCAAGTGCTGTTACTCTCACCTCACCTCTGGAATTCAGCTCTTTTGTCCATGTTTGAACTGTGGCTGTAATGAGATCAGGAGCTAAATGGCCCTGGCAGAACCCAAACTGGGCATCACTGAGCGGGTGCTGCTTGATAGCACTGTTGATGACACCTTTCATCACGTTACTGATGGCTGACAGCAGACTGATGGAGCAGTAATTGAGGATGGGGATATTTGTGCAGCCCCCTAGCCTTCTCCTTCAGTGACTTGTTTAATTGTCCACCACCATTCGCAACTGGATGTGGCAGGACTGCAGAGCTTAGGTCTGATCCGTTGGTTGTGGGATCGCTTAGCTCTGTCTATCACTTGTTGCTTTTGCTGTTTGACATGCAAGTAGTCCTGTTTGGTGGCTTCACCAGGTTGAAACCTCGTCTTCAGGTATGCCTGGTGCTGCTCCTGGCATGCCCTCCTGCACTATCCATTGAACCAGGGTTGATCCCCTGGCTTGATGCAAATGGTTAATTGGGGGATATGCCAGGCCATGAAGTTACAGACTCTGCTGGAGTACAATTCTGTTGTTGTTTATGGCCCACAGCACCTCATGGATGCCCAGTCTTGAGTTGTCAGATCTGTTAGAAGTCTGTCCCATTTAGCATGGTGATAGTGCCAGACAACAGGATGCAGTTATTCTTAATGTGGAGGTGGGACTTCGTCTCCACAAGGACTGGGTGATGGTCACTCTTACCGATACTGTCATGGACAGATGCATCTGCAGCTTGGTAAGGATGAGGTCAAGTATGTTTTGCCCTCTTGTAGGTTCCCACACCAACTGCCACAGACCCAGTCGATCAGCTGATGCAACTGATCAATAATCAAAAAGACAACATAATGTCACTTGTGGTATGTTGGCTTTAGACAAATTCGTCTGCATTGATTGTCATTGTGGAAGAAGTCAAATCTCTTTAAAAGTCTATCTCATGTAAGAGAGAGTTGATGATGTTGGAAAAACTACAAAGGACAAAATGCAATAGCTTGATAAAACAAAAATCATTTAAAAATTCTTCAGGCCAAATTTTTAACATGCATTTATACCAAATATAAGTAACTTCAATGCTTCCAATTCATTTAAACATAAATAGATTAAAAAAAAAATGTAATTCTTGGAGTCACTGAGAGCAGAGGCAATATCACATGGTTGGTTCACAGTGTGTTACAGTGCAGTCTCTTTTTATGAATGCTGTGATTCTTAGAGTTCAGTGTTTGTGCCACTCCTACAGTGACAAATTCATAAATTTTTATTTTTTTCCTTCACCCTGTGCATATAGTTTCTTTTTGTCAAAAAAGCATAAATAGACTGCACAAATGCCTTATACTGAAAAGCATTTATGGATATACACTTACCTTATATTAAAAAGCATATATAGACCATAGAGTTGCTTTTTATTTTAAAAAAAACATGTAGAGGCACTGAAGGTGGTGCTAAAACAGCTTACAGGGATGATAACAGAGCTCTGAGGTTTCAGTGCAGATTGTGGGTTAGAGGTAGATGATCAGCTGAGACCTAACTGAATGACAGAGCAGCCTTGTTGGGCTGAGTGGCCTACTACTGCTCTCACGTTCCCAGGATCATTGGTTTCCTTTGCTCATTTCAAGAAGTTTCTTCTACCTGGTGCAATGAACCACCAAAATACAGGAGGCCAGATGCTCTTATTTCCAGACCCATTCTTACTTCACAGCTCATGAAAGTAAATGCAGTCAATTAATATAAAGCAATCGCATCAAAACAACATTATCAATCTTAATATTAAGTGATGAAATTCCTGTGGCAGGGTTTATTCCTGAAGGTTTCATCGTATCACAAGCTGTTAATACCAACCATCCCATTAGGCCTAAAGTCTTTTACCACCCTGTCTCCCCTGTTTAGAAAAAAATACTTTTTAACATCCATATAGATTTTTCTCCTGGTGTGTGTAGGAGGTTAATCTTTAACTCCTGGAGGCTCAACAACACTTTTTGTTTTGATAATGCAGCCTACCTGTGGAGTGGTAATGATCACAGCTCCATCCACTTGTGTGGCACTCAGGTACTGTACAATGGAAAGATGTTCATCTGAGGTACCAGGCGGTGTATCAACAATCAGATAATCTACTTCACCCCAGTCCACATCCCGTAGGAATTGCTTGATTAAACCTAAAAGATGAAAAACTTTGTTAATACCAATAAATGAGGATGGCAAACTAAAAATCAGTCAACTGATTTCCATGCCACAAGCATAAAATCTGGAATGTATTAAGGCCCGTACCCTTGATTCCTTGCAGACCTGTGTTTCCAACTTGAAATCACAGGATTGCTAATATATGCGAGGCAGAGGCTTGGTGCTTTCTTACTGTAAGGCAGTGAGACATTAGTGAAATAGTCAGCCTTGACTATCTCTGTCACACAGCTTCAGCAGGTGACTCCTGAGGTACCTGCAAGCAGAGTCCATGCTTTCTCAATAATGGTACAAGGTGAAGTGGGGAAAAAAAAACTTTAAAAAGAGGAAATATTACTGGAATATTAATGCAGACTTTTATGTTTGACACCGCTTGTGCTAAATCAAATGATATTCTATTTTACAGTGACAAAAGGGAACAAAAAATGTACTATTCTATCACCAAGGTTGATCTGTGCTTAAGATCATTTGTCCTTTGAAGAAGAGAATATGTAATCACTTTAAATATAAAGAATCTGAGATTACTCATAGTTGAAATTTGATGAGGAAACTTTGTGGATTGGAATGTGCACATTTCACATTATCACTGAGAAAACCCAAATGTTTTACATCTGTGACAAAATGCAATAGATGGAGAGAAACATTCAGATGTACAGTTCATAAAATCAGAGATTCCTTACAGTGTGGAAGCAGGCCATTCAGCCCATCAAGTCAACACCGACTTCTGTACAGCATTCCACCCAGACCCACCTCACTACCCTATTGCTGTAACCCTGCATTTTCTGCATTTCCCATGGGTAATCCACCTAGCCTGCACACTCCTGGACATTATGGACAATTTATTTAGCATGGCCAATCCACCTAGTTTGCACATTTTTGGACTGTGGGAGGAAACCGGAGCGCACAGACACGGGAAGTACGTACAAAGTCCACAAATACAGTCACCCGAGGGTGGAATCGAACCCAGGTCCCTAGTGCTGTGAGGCAGCAGTGCTAACCACTGAGCTGTCCCATTTTTAAATATTAAAATAAGTAAATATTTATAGTCTTGAGGCATTGTTTAGATACAGAAATCACATCATTACAGCTTACCGCGAACTTAAAATTCACTTTGCATGAGACATTCTTTTTGAAAAGAATGTGAACAAATCTGTGGATGCAGTGGTTAAGAAAATAGTTTGACAGAACAAACAAAAATAGAGTCACAGTTCAGTGACTCAACATTAAACAGAGAAAGATTTAATGTCCCAATCTCTCTCGATGAATGTAACTTCTCAGTCCACATTATAACTTGTGTCTCTGTGTATTTGAATACGTTCCTCACACAACCTAAAACAAATTTCAGACTTCAAAACAAAGGCCAGTTATTTGTAACATACTGTACAGACATACAGAATGAGGAATCTACCTGAGCCACAATATGTACAAGTTCCTAAATAACATTCCTATACTATTACTTATTAAATTATTAACAGCTGAATTCCAGAGGTGAGGCAAGAGGAACAGCACTTGACATAAAGGCTACTTTCGACTGAGTGTGGCATCAAATTGGAATCAATGGGTATCGGGGACAAACTTTCTGCTGGTTGGAGTCATTCCTGGCATATAGGAAGATGGTCCTAAGAGTTAGTAAGAACTGCCGATGCTGGAGTCTGAGATAACACAATGTGGAGCTGAAGGAACACAGCAGGCCAGGCAGCATCACAGGAGCAGGAAAGCTGATGTTTCGGGTCGGGACCCTTCTTCAGAAATGGGGGAGGGGAAGGGGACTCTGAAATAAATAGAAAGGGGGGGTGTTGGGCTGGGCAAGGTAGGTGGGATGGTGATAGCAGGTAGGTAGTGGTGGGGATTGGTCAGTGAGGTGGGAGGAACTGATAGGTGGAAGAGAAGATGGACAGGTTGTGTCAGGTCAAGGAGGTGGGGATGAGAGGGAGTGTTGGTCTTGGGATGAGGCTGGGCGTGGGGCAATTTTGAAGCTAGTAAAGTCCACATTGAGACCATTGGGTTGTAATGGACCTGGTTGTTGGAGGTCAGTCATCTCAGCTCTGAGACATCTCTGCAGGAGTTACACAGGAAAATATCCAGAGCCCAAACCATCTTCAGCTGCTTCATCAATGACCGTCCCTCCATCATAAGGTCAGATGTGGGGATATTCACCGATGATTGCACAGTGTTCACCACCATTTGCGACATGTTCAAATGTAACAAGATTTGGACAATATCCAGGCCTAGACTGACAATTAGCAAATAACATTTGTGCAACATAAAAGACAGGTAATGACCATCTCCAACATGAGACAATCTAACCACCGTCCCTTGACATTCAATGGTGTTACCATTACTGAATCCCCTACTATCAACATCCTGGGATTTACCATTGACCAGAAATTCAACTGGACTTGCCACACAGACTCAATGGCTACAAGAACAGGTCAAAAGCTAGGAATATTGCAGTGTGTAACTCACCTCCTGACTCTCCAAAGCCTTTCCACCATCTACAATGCACAAGTCAGGGGTGTGATGGAATACTCCCCACTTGCCTGGATGGGTGCAGCTCCAACAACATTCAAGAAGCTTGTCAACATTCAGGACAAAGCAGCCCGCTTCATTGGCACCACATCCACAAAGAGTCATGGATTTTTAAAACTTCATAAGATAAAACAAATGTCACGAAAACATGGCCCCATCAATAGAGAGATGATGGGAGGACAGAGCACAATGTATAGGGTGAATGATGCCATTATTACTTATGTTTTGAAAACTAATTCACGGAATATGAGCTTCACTAGCTGGGCCAGCATTTATTATTCCATCCCTAATTGCCCGGAGGACTGTTAAGAGTCAACCACATTGCTGTGAGTCTGGAGTCACATGTAGTCCAGACCAGGTAAGGATGGCAGTTTCCTTCTCTAAAGAACATTAGTGAACCAGATGAGTTTTTCCAACAATCGACAATGGATTCATGGTCATCATTAGACTCTTAATTCCAGATTATACTGAATTCAAATTGCATCATCTGGTGGGATTCAAACCTGGATCTCCAGAACAGCCGGAGTCTCTGGTGATAATACCACTATGCCATCACCTCCCCTTGTCCTGTACAACAATGAGCTGCATTTGGGAATTAAGGCAACAATAACATCAGCAGCTGATGACATTACATTCAGAATGTGATAGATTGTCACAATGACTGTGAAAAGACTTTAGGGAGACATGGATATGCTGGTACAATGAGCAAATAAAGTGTCAGGTGTAGATGAATGAGCAACAATGCGAGGTGGTACATTTGGCAAGTTCATAAAAATGGTACAAAATAGTATTAAATGGAATGGAGGAGGATTGGAGAGACGTTGGGAGTGCAGAGATACTGCCTATTAAAGATTATAGTGTTAGCAGCTTAAGCCATTGAAAAGCTTTGATTTTTTTTAAATTTAGAGATAAATGGCTTATCCAACACGTCGTTCAAGCCATAATTGGAGAACTATGTATAGATTTGAGTATCCCCTTAAAGGAAGCAGGTCAAAATGTGGTCAAGGCATTGTATGGATTCATGAGGATGTTATCAGGACTGAGAGTCACTTAATGAGGTTGAGACATTAAACCTTTTCCAACTTGAGACCAAGAGATAACTTGCTTTACCAGGAGTAACACAACAAAAGTGGTATCAGTGTTGAGCAGCATTCAACAAACCTCAAATGTATTAAGACAACATTAAGAATGAGAGAAATGATTGCCCTGAATGCTAAATATGTTGCAGAGGACGTTTGTTAAGCCAGAAAGGATAAACTCAACACAAATAAACTAACCATTTTTCTTTGGCCCCCTCCAAATGACAGCATCATCAAGGCTGCCGAGCAAAAATCCTATTGACATTATACCTAGATTCTCTTCCACATACTGTAAGAAACAAAACAAAAGAGAGAAACCATCAATATAGCTTGTAGCAATGTGGTTAGGGTGCAGTTCAACAAATTCTCAAATGTGCGCAGTAAACCGACATTCTAATAAAAGTGGGAGGCACAACGAACGTAACAATTGTAACATAGAGAACTTGTATAAAATCTCCAATGATGACAGAATCTTGTGCATGTATTTGAAGCCACTGTATAACAGAGAACAAATCAAAAGGGGCCGAAGAGGAAGCAAATTGAATGTCATGACCATGGATCATACCTGCCCTTAAAAGAGGAATGATAGAGCCAACGTGACTGCAGGTATAAATTCAGCGGTTGTCTGCAGAGAAATTCTAGAATATTATATCCACATAGAGTCAGCAAAGCTTCAAACAGGAAGAGATAATGAGAGGGATGGCTACCATAAGAGATAATGACTACCTAACCTCCACTCACTAGGAAGCCATCTCCTGCAGACATGTTTGCATTTTATCCTTCCAGAGATATGCAAAAAAACGTAGTTTAGAAGCGAGCTTCAACTCGGTCAGCGTGTGTCAGTCTGATGTTCTTCTGCATGGACTATTGTACTGTGAAGGTCACAGCTTTGAGAATCAACACTAAACATCCCTGCACTGCAGGTAAAGGAAGGGATAATACACTCTCACAGTTTGAGCGCTGCCAGCCGCCAAAGAAAGGAACCAGGACAAAAGAATTTCATTCAACCACAAAGACAAGAAACTTGAAATGACCTGATCAACCACCAGTGTCAATGCTATCGGTGACAGTCACTAATGGCTGCAATGTTCTACTATCTACGCTTCATGAATGACTCACAGACTGATCTGTATTTTAAAAAAAATTATTTTGGATTTATTTCTTATTCCTAATCTGTGTGCATGTGTGCTGCATTACTATTTCTTCTCGCATTCAGCAACTAATAAATTCACTCTTGTTAACTCAAGACAGCCAAGTTAAATGGGCTGCTTTTAAAACATACATTTGGTCTGAGAAAAAGGTATCCACAAGGTTAAGGGATCCTTCTTAAATTAATCTTATTGCAACCAGTAGGAGGGGTGGGGGTGGATGAATAAAGAAGGGATACTGGTTCATCCCTCCTCACTCAGGACCTTAATAAATTGGGGTACTCCGTATGGAACCATAATAAATTGGGGAACCTTGCCTGAAAACTGGTCTTAGCAAAACACACTGAAATCACAGCCATTATGATATATTGGGTAAATTGACTCATTTAGAAGTGTATTGTTAATAATTTTCAGTGTTTTTCAAAAGCCTCACATGATGGAGTCTGGACTCGAAATGTTAACTCTTTTTCTCTCTGCAGATGCTGTCAGATCTGCTCAGCTTCTCCAGCACTTTCTGTTTTTGTTTTAATTTCCGGTGCTTACGGTTCTTTGTTTTATATTACTCATTCAAAAGGTGCGTTGTGTGAGGATAGGACTAAAAACGGTACAATTGCAATTCTCCAACCTGTACTCCCCACAAGCCTGGCTGCTTGCTAGGTCAGATTTAGACATGCTAACAATTCAGCAAAGCATTACCTACCACTGGAGACCATCCTGACCCACTCTGGTGTACCTGTGAGAATAGAAGGGATGGATAGAATTTAGTTAATAAACTTGCTTTTAAATTCTTAGCACGCACATTTTAGGATTAATTTAAATCAACATATTGCTTACATTAAAGGTTGGGAAGTGTGTGGAAAAAGGTTTTTGCTGCTGTAAGTTATATTCATGACCATGTTATTTTGTTGCTAACTCAATTTAAGCTCCTAATAATATGACATTGGTAATTATCATAGAATCATAGATATATACAGCATGGAAACAGACCCTTCCATCCAAATCGTCCATGCAGACCAGATATTCTACACAAATCTAGTCCCATTTGCCAACATTTGGCCCAGATCCCTCTAAATCCTTCCTATTCATATATCCATTCAAATGCTTTTTAAATGTTGTAATCGTACCAGTCTCCACCACTTCCTCTGGCAACTCATTCCATACATGCAATACTGTCTGCATGAAAAATTTGTCCCTTAGGTCCCTTTTATATCTTTCCCCTCTCACCTTAAACCCATGCCCTCTAGTTTTGGACTTTCCCACCCTGAGGAAAAGACCTTGCCTATGTACCCTATCTATGCCTCTCATGATTTTATAAACCTCTATAAGGTCACCCCTCAGCCTCTGACACTCCATGGAAAATAGCCCCAGCCTATTCAGCCTCTCCTTGCAGCTCAAACCCTCCAACCCTGGCAACATCCTTGTAAATCTTTTCTGAACTGTTTCAAGTTTCACAACAACCTTCCTATAGCAAGAAGACCAGAATTGCACAAAATACTCCAAAAGTGGCAGAACCAATGTCTTGTACAGTCGCAACATGACCTCCCAACTCCCACACACAATTTTTCTTCCCCCAACAAAATATTTCCCTGATATCAGCTGAGCCACATCGCTGTGTGTATGGAGTCACGTATAGGCCAGACCAGGTAAGGATGACAGATTTCCTACCGTAGAGGATGCTGGTGAACTGGATTAGCTTTCACTACAACAACTAATGATAGTGTCGTGGCTACCATTATTATTATTGTGACTAGCTTTAATTCCAGATTTTATTAATTGAATTTAAATGCCACCAGCCGCTGCAGTGGGGTTTGAACTTGAGCCTCCTGAGTGTCAGCCTGCGGCTCTAGGTTGTCCAGTGACATTATCCCTACCTGTAAAAGAGACATCTAATTAAAAAAAAACTTTTAACACACAAAGGCATATGTTAAGGGTTGTCTGAAAGTTTAGGGATATTGCCAGTGAGTAATTCTGTACTCAGCACGTGATAAAACCTAGATGTGTTATCAGAAATGGTGAGTGTAGGCAGTACTTTAAGGCAGAGAAATGAGAAGATTAGCTAAGTTCTGAGGAAGGGTTACTCTAATTTCTCTTCACAGATGCTGCCAGATCCGCTGAGCTTTTCCAGCCATTTCTGTTCTTCTGTCAGCTATGATCGAGTTCACTGCTGAATTGGGGGAATGCAATGAGACCTAATCAGCCACAGAACTTTCTTCAACAGAAGGAATCTTATGTCACAAGGACTGCCTCTAGCTACACAATGTACCAATTTTAATGTGATAATTTCTTATTTCTCTGCCTTAAATCACGTAAACTAATTTGGCCACAGACCACTTCTTGTCCTGGAGGCTGTGTAGTCAATCAATTTGTAATCTAATCTACTGAATTAGAGTTTAAGCAATTTAAACATCAACTCCAATTTAAGCATCTAACCAGAAATACAAAACAGTATTTTTGCAACAAACTACCCTTTGTACTACAATGGAACTATTTTAAAAAGTCCTTTTAATTTTACAGTCCAAATGGTTGTAAGTAAATAGTCCTGATAGGAATGGGGAAAAAACCCAGAAATATTAGTGATATTCACAAAATCTGTTCATAAAGTATTTTGGTGGCGCTGAGTAGAGAATTGTGATTCCAGAGTTCTGAAAATCCATTGCATGTTTCTGATCTATTGCAGTACAAGAAAGGTGCAGCAGGTGGTGCTGCTGAGCTGTCAATCCCTCCCTCAGATTCTAATACTGCCGACTCTCTACAGTTCAGAGATCGAGCATACTTTGGAAATCGAACACAGTCGCGGCAAATCATTGAAAATTTGGTCATTGAGTCATAGAGATAAACAGCACGGAAACAGACCCTTCAGTCCAACTTGTTCATGCCGACCAGATTAAATTAATCTAGTCCCATTTAACAGCATTTAGCCCAAATACCTCTAAACCCTTCCTATTGATGTATCTATCCAGATGCCTTTTAAATGTTGTTATTGTCCCAGTCTCCTCCACTTTCTCTGGCAGCTTATTCCATACACACATCATCCTCTACATGAAAAAGCTGCCCCATAGGTCCCATTTAAATCTTTCCCCTCTTACCTTAAACCTATGCCCTCTGGTTTTGGACTCCCCTACCCTAGGGAAAAGACCTTGGCTATTCACCCTATCGATGCCCTTCATGATTTTATAAATTTCTATAGGGTCACTCCTCAGCCTCTGATACTCTAGGCAAGATAGACCAAGCCTATTCACTCTGTCTCTATAGCTCAAACTCTCCAACCCTGGCAACATCTTTGTACATCTTTTCTAAACCCTTTCAAGTTTAACAACATCCTTCCATTTGGGTCAAATAAACCAGGGGAGGCAATGGCCTAGCATTATCACTTCATAATTAATCCAGAAACCCAGATCATGTTCTGGGGACCCAAGTTCAAATCCCACTGTGGCAGACGGTGGAATTTGAATTCAATTAAAATCTAACCATGAAACCACTGCCGATTGTTAGAAAAACTCATCTGGTTCACTAAGCTCTTTTAGGGAAGGAAATCTGCCATCCTCACCTGGTCTGGCCTACATGTGATTCTAGGCCAACAGAAATGTTAACTACCCTCTGGGCAATTTGGGATGGGCAATAAATGCTGGCCTAGCCAGAGCCACCCACATCCCGTGAATAAAAAGAAATTCTTAATAGAGGTCAAAAAGAAATGTTTAAACTAAATTTATGAAGAACAGTTTCAAATGGAGTTGAAGGAAGCTTTGGCTTGATTTGACCTGATTAAGTCGGAAATCGGAATGCCCAAAAACACTTAACAATGAACAAAGTACTTTTTGAAGTTGTGTAGTTATTGTTGTAATGTAGGGAAGTTAGTATCGGATTTGTGCACAGAAAGCCCCATAAACAAAGGTGATAATGACCACCTATTGTGTTTCAGTGATTTTGTTTGAGAGATACATATTTGACCAGGAGACAGGAATAACTCACTTCTTCGAAATGAGGCTATGAAATCTTTTACTTTCAGCTTTAGTATTGCACTGAGTTTCAGCCCAGACTTCTGTGTCCAAGTCACTGGAGTGGGGCTTGAACACGTCAAGTTCTGGCTCGGAGACAGAAGTGCTACCCACTGAGCCACTGGTGACACACAAGGCAGCTGCAGGTGAGAAGATGATTACTAAAACCACCATGGTTTCTGAACTAGGTAAACTATTTCATCAATGGTATAAGACCCTTCTAAATGATGCAAACCTCATACTGGCACCACCAAAACTTACACTTTTCCCTCAATCTGAGGAGTCCACCCCAAACATGGTTGACAGGGTGGTTGACTGCATCCGTCCCATTTCCTGCATTTCTATTCCCACTCTTTTCCCAGGACCACATAGGGTTTTCCTTGTCCTCACATTCTACCTCACCAGCTTCCACATACAATTGTCCTGCACCATTTCTACCACCTCCACTGCGACACCATCATCAAACACACCTTCTGATCCCCTTTCAGCATTCCAGAGGCGTTTTACTATAATCTCTGTTTCACCTGTGTGGGCCTTGTCCACCCTTCAAGCCACCTTCAACACTCCTCCTGTTTCTCTCGCACCTTTCCACTCAAGAGGAGAGGCAGTGGTGTAGTGGTAATGTCACTGCACACGGCAGACGGTGGAATTTGAATCAATAAAAATCTGGAATAAAAAGCTAGTCTAGTGATGACCATTAAACTGTGGTTGACTGTCGAAAAAACCCATCTGGCTCACTAATGTCCTTTGGGGAAGAAAATCTGCCATCCTTACCTGGTGTGGTCCTCATGTGATTCCTGACCCACAGCAATATTATTGGCTCTTAACTGTCCTCTGGGCATTTAGGGACAGGCAATAAATACTGGCCTGGCCAACAATGTCCACGAACATGAACAAATTTTAAAGGGTGTAGGAGATGTGACACCTGACCTTTTTTTTTTACCTCTTCTAGGCCCAGAACACACTGTCCAGGTGAAAATTTCAAATTAACGTACATGATTCACTGCTCACAACATTGTACATTGTACATTGGGGAGACCAAATCTAAATTGGATGACCACTGTGTAGGAAAAATCCCTGTCATTTATCCCTGTAATTCCCTGCTTTGCTCTGATCCTCAGTTTCCTGTATGCTCCAATGAAGGTCAACATAACCTCAAGGATATTCCAGTGTAAACTGGTTCAACTTTTATTTGGAGTTTCCTAACATTCTGCTCACTGCACCAATCAGTTTATGATCCTGAAATTCAACATTTAATCTGTTTCACAGAATTCAACACCAGCCAACTTATATCAGGAAAATGCAATTCAAATAACACAATGCTTTACTATGAGCTAGACTGTAATCACTATGCTATGCTGAACTATTCTGTCAGCACTTTACTATACTGAACTACACTGTAGTAACTATATTTTACTGAACTGGGCTGCGATCACTATACTGTACTGAACTATGCTGTGATCATTATGCTATACTGAACTATGCTGTAGTTACTTTAGTACAGTAAATAACATTATGGTTACTATAACACACTGAACTACACTGTAATCACGATGTTATTTTGAACTATGCTGTAATCATTTATGTTGTGGGGTTCACTCTGTCCTTCAATAAGCATTACAAACTTTCCCATGTACAAAATGAGCAGTTTTCCCTGATCCCTGCATGAATTCTCTTTCTGAAACCCATGATGTTGTACTTTCCGCCTATGGATCTCCATTTCACAGTTATTTTGTTGAAGGGACATCACCTGATGAAGGAGCAGTGCTTCGAAAGCTTGTGATTTTAAATAAACCTGTTGGACTACAACCTGGTGTCCTGTGACTTCTGACTTTGTCCACCCCAGTCCCACACCGGCAGCTCCACAGCATTATTAATACAGGTAGGTGTAAGATGCTTACAAAATAACCTGCAAGTATCAATTATAAAAATGACTGATTTATTGATCACAAGGATTTGGGAATTGGATGAACTCAGTGAGGGATTGTAAACAGGTCCAATTTATAATGAAAGAATTGAATTAACTTTTAATGCATTGCCTGCGTTTCTGCTGAACTTTGGACATCTCCACCAGTAAGAGTTGATGATGTTAATGATTCTGGGTTGGCTTAAGTCCAGGGAATGTTAGGGAGCTACTCAATAAGCAGACACAAACAGTGCTCCAATAGATGGGTCATACACAGTGACAAATATTCTGAATAGGATCTTGGTATTTCACTAATGACTGTCACTGTGCCAGGCTGCACAACCAGCCATCTGAATAGAAATAAAAAGGCACTGTTGGAGATACAACAGAAAGCCAGAAGATGTTATACTGTCAAACTATACCCATGCTGCCATTTACAGTAAACTTTCTACTTTTTTAAGTGTCTTCCATACGTGTCACTGTGTTACACTGAGCTGTGTGAAGAGATACATGGAAATGGTTTATAATTGAGCTAGCCAACCCATCATGGCAACTAGGAAATTTCGTTAATTGAACAAATTTGGAATGCTAGCATCCTTAATGGTGAACCCACTGGATTACCATTAAACAAAAAATAGAAGTTGCTGGAAAAGCTCAGCAGGTCTGGCAGCATCTGTGGAGAGAAATCAGTTCTGAGGAAGAGTCACTTGACCCGAAACGTTAACTCTGATTTCTCTCCACAGATGCTGCCAGACCTGCTGAGATTTTCCAGCAATTTCTGTTTTTGTTTCTGATTTTCAGCTTCTGCAGTTCTGTCGGATTGCCGTTAAAACTCATCTAGTTCACTAATATCCATTAAGGAAGAAAATCTTTTATCCAGTCTGGCCTCTATGTGACTCTAAATTCTGGCCAATATAGGACTCTAGAACCATAGCTAAAATGTAATAAGATACAGCACTGTCAGTTAGATCAGCACCTTTTTGCTCATCTCTAACTGTCCTTGTACTGAAAGGCTTGCTAACTCATTCTATCGGGCAGTTAAGAATCAATCACATTGTCGTGGATCTGGAGCCTCCTGTAGTCCAAACTAGAAAAGGGAGGCAGATGTCCTTCCTGAAAGATCATTAGTTAACTGGATGTGGTTTTACAACAATCGAGGATAGTTTCATTGCTGAGCCTAGCTTCCCAATTCTAGATTTTAATTTCCCCAGGGATTACAAATCCTGTGACATTACCGCTACGCCACCATCTCCTGATTGCATAACTGCTCTCCAAAATGCCCCACCAAGCCACTCAATTACCACCACCATTCTCCACAGTGTTGTTCACATCCTGACAGTGAAAAAAGGATACAGTGCCACACTACCCAATTAGCAGCTTGAAAAGCTTCCATTTGATCTAATGGTTCATTAAAGAATATTCAATTCCTCACCATTGAGGAACTTCTCCCTTACCTGTTCACCTTCCACTCCCATGATTTTTGGAATGGATGGGCCACACACATCAACATCCAGAAGTGCAACCTGCAATCAGGAAAAATATAAAGAATGAAAATCATGCACATGTAAATCTTGAATTGCATTACATGAACACAGAAATCAAACTACAGGACAAGGAAACAGTATTATTAGGATTAATAAATCCACTGTTTAGCTTCTCCACTGCAAAATTCCTCCCATTGGCTGTTCTCTGGTGTAATGTATGCTCATCGAGACAAGCACAGGATATGTTTGAGAGTGTCCTCCATTTTCTTACAAAAGTTAAACATGAATAAGCCTGTTGTTTATTAACAAAAAGATGCAAATGCAGGGAGCAGCATGGTGGCTCAGTGGTTAGCACGGCTGCCTCACAGCACCAGGGACCTGGGTTCAATTCCACCCTCGGGCGACTTTCTGTGTGGAGTTTGCACATTCTCCCTGTGACTGTGTGGGTTTCTTCCAAGTGCTCCGGTTTCTTTCCACAGTCCAAACATATGCAGGTTAGGTGGATTGGCCATGCTAAATTGCCCACAGTGTCCAGGGATGTGCAGGCTTAGGTGGATTAGCCATGGGAAATGCAGGGCTACATGGATTGGGTCTGGCTGGGATGCTCTTCGGGGGATGGATGTGGACTCAATGGGCCGAATGGCCTGCTCCCACACTGTAGGGATTCTATGATTCTAAATAAAATTGTTGGAGATACTGAATGACACAATCTGTATTTGTAGAGAGAAACAGCCAGGTTGATTTTAAGTGTGGACCCATGATTTACTTGTTTAAATAGGGAATGTCACGGGAAATTGATGCTCTGTCACACAAGTATTATGGGCTGGCAAGAGACAGGTCAGCGTTTCTAATATTAACTGTGTTAGAGGGTAAAACAGTGAAAGCCAAGAATCTACCACCGCCTGATATGTTAGCAGTCACCTCTTTAGAGAGAGCTCCTACATATTTCAAAAATGCAAAGAAAAACAAGCAACTTTATACTAAAATTTGTCTAAATGTGATCTTTTTTCTCCGATCTCAATTGCAGAGACAGGCCACTATTAAGTGGGATTCAGCAATTTCCCAGTAATGATATCAAGAGTACCACTGTGAAATTTGAATGAAAAGCTAACCCTCTGCAGCAAACTTATCAAAGAACAGCAGATGGAGCTAGCTACTTCAGAACAACACAGGGCATTTTACTGAAAGCAACTTGAAACAAGAAATCCAGAATCATAAAATGAGTATTTATTATTTACAAGCACCGTCAGTATCAAAACTATGCATGAATCACTACCTCAAAAGACCAGCTCAGCACAGGATAGCACAACAGATATTACTTCAAAGGCTGTGATTTAACATCTGCTCGAAGGTAAAGCTGATCAGGTGTGTAGGTGAGTGCCATGCCGTTGATGTCATTTACATAGATTTTGGCAGACCCTTCGACAGGGTCCCAGATGTGGGACTGATAATGAAATTGGGATCCAGTGTTACAGGGTAACTTGGCAAATTGGATGCAAATTTGGCTATGTGTTCGGAGACAGAGTGTGGTGGTAAAAGAACTCATCCATGCCAGACAATATCCTGGTGAATCTCTTCTGCTCCCCCTCCAGTACAAACACATCCTTCCTTATAGTGTAGTGACCAGAACTGCACACACTACTCCAGTTAGGGCCAAACCAATGCTCTGTACAGCATCAACATTTCCCTCTTCCTCTTATAATCTATGCCTCGACTGAAAAAGGCAAGTGTCCCTTTCGTCTTTTCAACTACCATATTAACTTGTCATGCCTTCAGGAATCCACAAACATGTACTCCAAGATCTTTGTGTTGTTCTGAGCTTCCTCATGTCTTGCCATTCATTGTGCACTCACTTTTCTTGTCACTTCTTCCAATGTACATCACCGCACACCACAGAGTTAAATTCCATCTGACCAGTCCTACTGTAACCCAAGACCTTCTTCCTCTCTGTCAACCACATGGCCAACCTTCATGTCATCTGCAAACACACTTAGCAACACCACCAACTATTCCCTCCTCCCCACCAGACCAATGCATATATACACATACATAAACAATACAGAAGTGAATATTTCATAAACAATAGGGGACCCAGCACTGGTCCCTGTCAGACACCACTGGAAACAGCCTCCAGTCATACAAATGGTCTACCAACTCTTTCTCTTTCATAACACTAGTTGGGATGTCTTGTTGGCAGCACCATGGGTGGCAGGGTGGCTCAGTGGTTAGCACTGCTGCCTCATAGTGCCAGAGACCTGGGTTCAATTCCACACTCGGGTGACTGTCTGTGTGGAGTTTGTACATTCTCCATGTGTCTTCATGGGTTTCCTCTGGGCACTGTGGCTTCCCCCCACAGTCCACAGATGTGCAGGTTAGGTGGATTGGCCATGCTATATTGGCCACAGTGTCCAGGAATGTCTAGGTTAGGTGGGTTAACCATGGGGGTTTCAGGGTTACATGGATAGGGTAGGGTTAGGTCTGGATGGGATACCCTTTGCAGGGTCAAAGTGGACTCAATGGGCCAAACGGCCTGCTTCCATACTGTAGGCATTTGATGATTCTGTTCTATGATCAGTGGCATCGTTAGGTGGCCCTCAGTGAGAGCAGAAACAGTGTTGCAGGGCTGCATCACTGCCACGGCATGTGCGTATCACAAATAACATGCTGCCCAAATATTCACAGGGCAGCCGTGGTAACATAAATCTTGCATGGAGAGTAAAGCCAAGGATTGCAATAAGGTGATGCTGGTAATGACGTGGATTTGACAAGCGTGGCCTCCTGAGTGGCCTTGATCTCTTAACACTTCCTGAATATTTGGGAACATGTATGGAGGAGGAACGTGCGGGGCAAGAGAGGAAAGAGGGCTGCCCGACACTCCGCACAGACAAGGGGTGACTGCAGCACACACTGATGTCAGCACGTCAGCTACGCATGGGCAAACACATAACTAGCAAAACAGGCTCCATTGTGGCTGACCAACGTTACAGGAAGAGGGGAATACTCTAAACAGGCACGAGATCTCAGCAGCCATGTTTAGTGCTGGGGACACGCACCCCATTTTTTCAAAGCTGTAGTATGAGCCAAGAATGGTTGCCTCTTTAAAGAGAGGAGTTCCTAGAACAAAACCCCAAAGGAGTCTTTGTAAAATTCATTCACAGGTGAGCATCACTGGCAAAACCAACATCTAGACATTTTCTAATCAACCTGTTCAGACCTCTGGAGCAGGTGGGACTTGAATACAGGGATCCTGACTGAGAGGCAGGAACACTACCACTGCACTACAGGAGTTCCTAAAACCAGAATTCATTGTATCTAGTCCCATTAGCCAGCAAATGGCCCATATCCCTCTAAACCCATCCTATTCATATACCCATCACGATGCCTTTTATTCCATACACGCACCACCCTCTGCATGAAAATGTTGCTCCTCAGGTCTCATATCTTTTCCCCTCTCACCTTAAACCTATGCCCTCTAGTTTTGGACTCTCCTACTCTGGGGAGAAGATCTTAGCTGTTCACCTTATTCATGTCCCCCATGATTCTATAAAGTCACCCCTCAGCTTCTGTCGCTTGAGAGAAAATAGCCCCAGCCTATTCAGCCTCTCCCTATTGCTCAAACCCTCCCACCCTAGCAACATGCTAGTAAATGTTTTCTGCTCCTTTTCAAGTTGAACAACATCTTTTCAATAGCTGGGAGACCAGAATTGAATGTAGTATTCCAAAGGTGGCCTAAGCAATGACTTGGAGACAGTAAGGGCTGCAGATGCTGGAAGCTAGTGTCAATAAATGTGGAGCTGGAAAAGCATAGCAGGTCAGACAGCATCCGAGGAGCAGGGAAGTCAAGATTTTGGGCCAAAACCCTTCATCAGGGTTGGGGATGGGGAGGGGAGTCCAGAAATAAATACAGGGAAAGGGATGGGGCTGGGAGGGAGGGTAGGTGAAATGGAGATAAATACATGCAGGTAGGGGGTTATCGTGGTTGGTCAGTGGGAAGGGTGGAGCGGATAGATGGACAAGTTGAGGGTGGAGAGGTTTTGAAGCTTGTGAAGTCAATATTCAGGCCATTGGGCTATAAGCTCCAAAGGCGAAATATCAGGTGTTGTTCCTTCAGTTATGGTCTGAATGTTATTTGGAGACCATGGGGGATAAGCTTGCTGTGTAGACAGGCACTGAGGAAGGAGACGTGGCTGTCTTCAGAATGTGGTTGAAGAGCTTCAGGGCAGAGATAGCCAGGGGTTGCAGTGGGAGAGAGACTCACTGAGCTCTCTTCAGAGGTAGGAGGAAAACTTCTTCAAGGTGGGCATCCTTACAAAAAACTTTGCAGTATAGTTTTCAGAGACCTGGAGGTAATAAGGACTGCAGATGTGGCCTATGCAATGTCCTGTACATTGAATAGTTAGATGTAGGGTGGGGGACAGGGATCAGGGGTTCACAAACTGGCCAGAGTTTCTATCCTTTTTCACTAACAAATGGCCTCTGCTTGAAATCATGCACGTGTGTACAAAGGTCAGGACAAGTCGGGTTAACAACCCACCAGCATCCATTGTTGAGGATCTAACCCCCAGCTGAGGTGAGTGAATAAGAGAAAGGCTGACGTGCGAAGCCATTCAGCCTGCCCCAAGGTTTTGTTTCCAGAATATTTCCACTGCCACATTTGTTGCTGTTCTTTGGTTTCCACACATTTTAAAAATTCTCTCATAGGATGTGGGTGCCGCTAGCTGGGCCAGCATTCATTACCTGCTCCCATTTGCCTTGAAGAAGGCGGTGGTGAACTGCCTTCTTGAACTGCTGCAGACCCTGTGGTGTGGGTAGACCCACAATGTCATTAGAGTGTTCTAGGATTTTGACCCACTGACAGTAAAGGAACGGTGACGGGAGTCAGGATGGTGAAAGGCTTTGAAGGGAACTTGCAGGTAATGGTGTTCCCGTGTATCCGTCACCCTTGACCTTCTAGATGCTTGGAGTCATGGGTTTGAAAGGTACTGTCTTAGGATCATTGATGAATCTGTCCAGTATGATTTGTAGATGGTATACACTAC